CTTAACTGACTTGAGAACATTTTTGTTTGGTTGTTAGTTATTTGAGTTGTGTACTCAAGTAATCCATAAAATAAATTAGGGGCCAGTAAGGAGTAGGCAGCCAATAAACTCATTCAATTAGGTCACATCATTCCTTTGCCATTTGTCTCCTTTTACTTTCTCACATTCCTTGTTGGTACCCGTACAATTAACTATTGTTTCTATCATTTCTTCATTTAAATACAGATGTAATGATGGAGTGGGAGCAAATATATGTGATCTGTGAAGGGAGTTTGGTTTCAAGGCAACTAAGTCATGCCACATTGAAAATAAAATATTGATAACCCTAAATAAATAGAGCCATTGAAAAAAATATAGTACATACAAACCATACACAAACAGAAAGACAAAAATCCACTAAAGTTTATTTTTTAAAAATTTGTTGTGACTTTTGTTGCAAAAAATTAAACATTTTATACCAATTTTGACTTTTACGCAAAATGAATAAAGACAAATTTGTATTGCATTTATTGTAACTTATTGTACTGTATTTTAAATGAAACTTGGCATACACATTAAGAATAACATTGACATAAAGTTTAAAGAAGCTTATTACACAGCAGTTATTGGAAGTGTTACAAATGGCATGTATGTGGGGGTCATATAAATATTCGAGAACTCTTCAGGAGTAGCAAATGTAAAAATGTTATAAACCTTTCTAGTTGGATATACCCGGTATATAAACAAAAAAAACCTCTTCAATTTTGTAAAGAATATCAATGAAAAGAAGCATGCAATGTTTGAAGGCTGTAGCTAGAATACTTTTCCTTCCGAATCATTTGGCGTTCCTAAAAAATCCGGAAAATGCAAAATTTAGAAAAATGAAAAAAAGTATAAAATTGTGTTTTTTTAAATTAGAGGGCTGCATGAACGATATAGGATGCATACACCATGTACATTTATCATTAATGAATTAAAAAACAATTATAAAACTAAGACAGAAAAGATAGAAAAAAAAATAACTTACAAACCTAATATAAAAAAAATACATTAAAAAATTCTGAAAAAATTTCCTTTGAGATATATGTTTAAAAACCATCCATCATTATGTAGAGAATGTCAATATAAATAATCATGCAAAGTTTCAATTATGTAGTTCCAAAACTATTCCTCCTGATTCATCAATTGACGTCAGAAAAAAAAAAATTAAAATGCTATATCGATAAAAGCTGAAAAAGACACTGACAAATGCTTATTAAAAAAATTAAAAGTTACTTGAACAACATTGGATGCATCCATCATGAACACATTCCACTCGTTAATAAAAAAAACAAACAATTTAAGTACATAGATATAATTGATAGAATATAATTGAATGCATTTTCCCAACAACCCACTAGCCTCGAGCCTAATAAAAATAATAAGATCATAAAAACTTCGGAATTTTGTTTATGAGACATGTAATAAAAAAAGCATCAATCATTATGTAGAGAATATAATAGAAAATTTTGAAGCATGTGGTAATAATACTTTTCCTCATAATAAATTTGACGTCAGAGATAAATGGAAAATGGACCACTTTAAAAAGAGAAAAAAATTCAATTAAGCAATATTAGAAATATAGGAGTCAAATAAAATGAAATTTAAACCATATCAATGTGAAATTATCATAAAAGATAAGAATTTTCTAGATATTTTTACAAATGTTAAACAATATTGTAGAACATGTTAATGTTTTCAATAAGAAATCAATAGACTCAGTTTAGGAAACAAAAAATCTGCCCAAGAAATATAATAAAAATGGTTATTTACAAAATTTTGTAAAATAATTTTCAGCACATTAAAAACATTTACATATTTATAAAAGTAGCTGAAATCTTTCGGAACCAATCATTGCGAATTAGCAGTGAAAATAAATTTACAAGAACAAGTCAAGAATGACGATTATCTCAGCAAGGCCTTTTCAAACCCAGTTGTTGGGTTCAGCTGGGTTCGCCGAAATGTTCTAAATACCGGTATTCACTTTTCTGCGTGTTAACTTGGTTCGCTAGTCCTGTGTTTGGATGTGTTATGGTGAGTTGTGGGTTTACTTGTCCTGCGTTCATTTGCGCGGCCACCGCAGGGGACACAAACCATACAATTTATGCAGCATCAACGACCAGAAATCTGCTTAAAGTAAACCCATACACGGGTAAGCCGCGGTGACTGCGTTGCTGCCTACAGCCTTACTAAACAGAAACATGGCAAGACCGTGGAGGCCATGTCGCTCTAGCTATGCTGACGTATTACTTTAGTGTATCAGAGAATGACTTTGGTAATCAAGTAATCAGCAGGCCAGAACAGGGAAACCGGCGCATGGGCAAAAAAAAGGTGCGAAGCGAGAGACTCGGCTACGTAATAGAATTCCACCAACAACAGAGACTGAGAGAGCGACCAATGTCCAAGCGTTGGGTGATGTATAACGTGTCCTCATAATGAGCAGATCTGGGAAACGTTTCGAGCGGACCAGGGGTTATGTTGCGATATGTTCACTAGAAAGTTGTGCCACCTACTACCACTAAGTTAAAAAAAAACACACAAAAAAACTCTTCAGCTCGCGGAAAATGCCGCCTGTCAGGATAAATTTTTTAAAAAGTGGCACCTGTGTGGACCACCCCCTCCAGAGCCCCCTTCCTATGCAAGTGGATTGACTTTTTCTCGACAATTGTGAGTCATAGTAGGCAAATAAGCTATTTAAATGGTCTGTGGTTGGTCAGTTCTAGTTTGATAGATGGCACTTAATTATTTAGATGCCACCTAAGTTGACTCTGGTTTGTGGTGAGTAAAATGAGAGGCAGTGTTAGTGATTTTATGTATCTGGATGAAGCCAAGTTGCTTTGTTAGTCATCTGTTTGCAATGGTATTTATTTCGCTACTGACATATATTTCATTACTTTCTCGCTTTTTGCCTCTTAGTCTTAGTAAATCACCAGCTATATATTGAGAAAGAAATCGAAACTGTCACAAATTTTAAGAAAGGAAATTGACAATTTTATTTAAAGTTTTAACAAACATTTCCCACATAACCCCCACCCTCAAAATTCTAGCCGCGTTACGTCCGTAATGGATGAACAACCGTCCAAAGGAAAAGCAGCGCCCTGGGCGAATGCGCCCCCTGATAATGAGGTCCCTTGCGAGTACCACCTTTACATTGATGTGCATGGATCCAGTGGACTAGATAGAAATATCAGACAAAGTAGATAGATCTATAAAATTTTTAAAAAATTATTTAAATCTATATATATCCAATTTGGCAACTTTTATAGCGTATCTTTGAAGACAGAAGAGTTCTCCTTGTTTTTTCCAAAATGGCGCCATTTATGATAAAAGATTCATGAAATGTAGTCTACTTTTGTTTTTTTATCTTGTTCAATTTTGTTAAATGGTTATTGTACATGAAAAAAAAAAACAAACGCAATTTCAGGCCTTTAGTTCCATCAGGTAAAGAGGAAGTTTTAATTTTATATCACTAGAAATAATTAATCGCGCTTAAATTTCATTGCCTTAACTGTGCCTTAACTTGACTGGCACTTGCCTGGCCTTAAGTAGATACTTTGGTAAAAAATGTAAACATTTTTTAAAAATAAACTAATGGCACAGTTGAATAGAGCTAATTTTAAACATAATTATAACAACAAAATCATATTTTTAGCTGTTGTAGTTTTAAAGTTATGAATTTTTAAAGTACGACTTGGTTTGTCCTTTTTTAACATAGACTGCATCTCCACATTCTGTGACCTCATTCCGCTGATCGCGTCATGCGCAATGACTATATAGTTTATATAAGGCAATGCATTCCCTTAATCACTAAAATACTGTTTAGGGTCGACTTATTTTATACTTCCGGTTCACTAGCGCTTGATAGGCAGCAGTGAAATCTCTGTTCATTTTTTCATTTTTGGAATGTGTTTTTCAGATAATATTCCTCAATAGTTGGGACAGGTTTGTTACTCAAAGTCTCCTGGACGTGGAAATGTAGTTTACTTCGAGGATTGCTAGGTTTATTAGAATTATTCCATTCTTAATTTATATAAATTAGTCAAGGCTGTCGATGTATTGCTTCCGGT